AGACTCGTGCTGATTACAGGTGGCGTAGAGATTTCTCGACTAGCCCACTCGTTGCGAAATCCGTGCGTGGCGGACGGGAGTGCAGCGCGCTGATAACAAGGGCGATTGTCTGGGATTAGTGGTAGAAAAATCGACCCTACTGTCACTCGAGAAACGGGAACTGGAGGGACCGGTTTTGTCGTGCTCATCTTCAGATGTGGCCCGGGCGGGCTCTGCACTGGCAGTGGAGGCTGTTGCCTGCTGCAAAGCATAAGCTGGATTTTGCGGCTGCTTTAATAAACCTCAGACGAAACGAAAGAGTCAATCGAAGTTTTTTTTTATTTTGGTTTGATGTAGGTATAAAAGATTTTTGGCTTATAAATCCTGTTTTGCATTATACATCCTATTTTAGCTTTGCATGAACATAAATGTGAAATATCTCACAAGCGTTTTTTACTTTCGCTGACGATGCTAACAATCTGTCCATGTCCTTCCAAATATTTGAATAACATAAATAGCTGGACCTGCCCCAAGTATGCGACCAAGGTGCTTGAATTTAAATGGCCGCAGTCGAAGAATTCATTTCTCGTTCGGAATGAGGTCAGCATCTTTTCATTTATATCTGACTCGCTCAGATGGCTCGTTTGGTTTCTGACCGGGACAAATCTATAGAAGCACCAATAGCTCTTGCTACCTGACGAGCCAGCTCTGGGACAATCCGAAATATCGCTAACTTTCCTCCAACATACCGCTCCCCTAGCTCCGACCTACTGCTTTTCATTCCCTGGCTTCTTCATGACACCCTGCCAGCAGATCCCCGCCAATGTCTCCATTCAGGGCCCGTGAAAGGAGCGGCTCTATCGTATTGGATCGTGCTGACTAGCGTGTGGAAGGTTGAGAAAAGCCCAGAAGAGATGACATGGCCTGCCTATTGAGGGAGCGTGGAAAGCATGTGGTGTAACACGAATATCACTTGTCATTGGCCGTGTCAATGGGGGTTTTGAGGGATCGGAGCAGCAGGGGTCATCGCCACGGCTTGACGGTTGATGGAGACGAAGATCGCTTGAAATTAATCCATTCACGTATATATTTTTAGCATCTTTTCATTCAGGAACTATCCACACCAGTTTTTTCCGTCAGGAATTCGGTGTCTCGCCTGTAGCCTAAATTACCAGGTAATAATTATATGAACATCACGCGACCGATATAGATATCCCCCCAAAAAAGGTTTCCCTGTTATGCCGTCACATTCCTAACCATAACTCATTCACCTCAAAAGGATTCGGCCGCCGCTTTCATTCTAGTCGCATCGGGAGCGTCCTCACCTTATCGCTGACGAATCCCTCCAATTAATCCGACGGAGATGCTCGGCCCTGTCGACGCCTGTGGACAAGCGAGATCTTGATGGTGTCCGCGTGTGTCCGAGCTAGTGTCCATGGAGGTTAACGAGTGTCATTTGGTGTTCCCTTGTGTCCAATACCTATAGCGTCCTCTAATCGTAATCGTAATCGTGTATTTGCGAAAATCTCCACACGGTGGCTGTTCTGATTTTCGGGTCATTTTCAACATGTGAACAATGTGAAAAAATATGTGTTTGCTAGTGTTCTGTGTCCACTGTTGTCCGCTAATGTCTGTTGACGCTTACTTTATCTTCAGCTAGAGTTTCATTTGTCTGGCAGTGCATGCGTTGAGGATGATGTCGTATCCATTTTGTGCAGAAGGTGCAAGGAAAGAATGTGTGCTATGGCGCAGGTGCAGCACCCCTGGAAACTTACCGACATGGGTCGCACACCCCTGCAGGGGACCCATGAATCCCATCTCAAGACAGACGCTGGTCGAAGGAATGCCGTAAAGCCGTCTAATGGAGCTACCGGGCCGGCGCCGGCGCGGGGCCGTGCGGACGGGACAGGACCGTTTATTGGGCACCCTCATAAAACCAGACACCCTTCTATCGACCGCCTGCCCACGTTCCAAGCCGACATCAATTCTTATCCACCCCTCTGGGCGGACCCTCGAAACACCCCATCGACGGCCCGGGTAACACCATCGAAGACAACGGGACCATTGGACGGGCCGATTCCATCGCTTCGAGGACGCCGGGCAGGCTTTTGGGCTGATACATGGGTTTATGATAACTACTAGCAGAGCTTTTGGCTGATCCATTCGGCTCTTTCAACTGCTAGCAGGACCTTCGGCGAATTCATTCGGCCATCCCAACTACTAGAAAGCACTCTATTGCTAGCAGGACTTTTGGCTGATCTATTCGTTATTCAAAATAGAACCGACTGCTTGGCACCGTGGCCGGCAATATTTTGTCGAGTATTTTTTTTTAGCCCGAACTAGCTGTTCCTGAGGGATTCTCAGCGACTCGACAGCGTTGCGGGGTCAAGGGGTCAGGCCGGTACTATGGCGAGGGGCAGGGGTATACGCTCGTTAGGTCTTATATTGCCGCCCGGAACAGCAAAGAGCCTCTCCCAAATGGTTGACCCCGGCTACCTAACGGTATTTTTACCTGTCCCCTTCTCCTGGGCGGCAGGGGAACATACCTAAATGGGTGGTGCCTGGTTTGCCCGCCTCGCCTCCTAATGCCACCATTATGCGAAGTGGCCATCGGAAAGTGATCCGTCTTGCTTTATGCGACCCTGTTTGTGCGCGAGGGTTCGGTTTGGCGCTGCTGCTGCTGCCTGTGCCTTGATGGAGGGGATTGGTGAGGGGCGACAAATGGTTTCCCGATGGGGGTCCGGGCAGGGGGGGGGGTGAGGGGACGGGACGGGCCTCCGCCTTGGCAGAGAGGTGGGGACCGTTGAGCGCCCCCGTGCGCATGTGTGGTGTGTGGGATCCGGTCTTCGATGGGGACTTTGTATGATGGTCACTGGTCATCGTGTGCTGTCGGTATGTGATGTGTGATTTATGATGTAGGCTGTATGATGTATAAAACTTGATGTACTTGGAAAACTGTATGATGAGATTCTTGTGATCTGGGCTTTTTGTGATGAGGAATGATTGAGATCTGAACTGTGCTCTGTGAGCGACCAGAGATGGTGATGCGATTTTGTGCGATGTGATATTTATATGATATGCGATGTGAACTTTGTGACGTCCTTCATTGCCATCCAACCTCCACCCCTGGCTCGTGTCGGTCACAGTCCCACCTGGGCTTTAGGAAAAACTCGTGGCGATAACCCGGCGGCGTCCCTTGTTTTCTTTCCGCGTGCTTTCCATCCACTGAGCTTCAATGCTGCTTTGTTTCTTACTTATCAAACGGTGAATTGGACCCGCGTGTCTGAAAGTTGGTACGTGATTCCCATGGCTTGCGGCCTTGTTCGCACGCTGTATGTTTCCTATGAGTCATGGACAAGTATTATGTGTTGTGAAGCGGTTCTGAGAATATGTAAAATGTGGTCCATATCATTGATTGTTTTGTTTGAATGGTGTGCAGTCATGGATTTATTTCAACATTGGATGTAACGTTTTCTTTCCTGATAAATATTCGCCCCGTTGAACCATGCATGTTTCGCAGGCGCTGTTGAATGATCCCAGTGTGTTTGGATGGGCTAATCTTTGCCGTGAAAGTATCAAAATGACCTGAACTAAACTGCTTATTGGGGAGTGACATTTGGGTCGTTTTCGCATGTGTACAGGGTGGAAAGTAATTACGCGAACATACTTTTTCGTCTTATAGCAATGGAAAAAGCGGCGGTGACATGAAAATTTCATCTTTTCATATATTCCTATTTATGTGCGATACACTGACAAAGGCGTTCAGGCATAATTGACATGAGCATGTCAAGCACTGTTGGCCAAAGCTTAGTCCACGCCTCCTGGAGCTGTCTGGTGAGGCAATCGATGTTAGTGGCTACTAGCAGCTCTTAGACGCTCTCCTGAAGAGTCGCCTGGATATTTTTGATCAAATTGAGGTCTGGGCTATTCCCAGATTGACCATTATATGCCCAGAAGAAGAACGGGTTCTCAAAGCACCAGTCTTGCGTCTTTTTGGCCGTGAGAGGAAGGACTTTATCAATCATCCAGAAGAGTTTCTTTGCGTCGGGCACAAAAGTGCGCTCAATCATTTTGCCCCTTTTGGTGCATTGATGGATTAGATAAAGAGACTCGTCTGGAAGGATGTTCCACTAGTTGTATACTTTATTTTTTGTGGCCTTGTTGGTCACTACATGCAATTCTGACACCATCCGGGCGCTCATAACACGCTGATGTGTGTTCCTTTGCCGGATGTTTGAAGGTTGGGACGGGCGGGACGTCGGACGTATCAGCAGCCCCCAACGCGTTGTTCTGCAGGTTTGACGGATGAAATAGCTTCGAAGATGTCTCACCCAACCACAAAGCCAGCTGCCTGTCCTCCTCTGTTCAGGTTTGGCGGTCTTAAGAAAACTTAAATTGACAATCCTGCTGTTAATTCATGAATTTTGGCCATCTCGATTGTTTGTACGGCTTGATTTTCGAATTTTCACGGATTTATGTATGAATCGTGATATCTTAGATGGGGTACCCGGCCAAAGTAAACCATTTCGCCTGTTTTCGGGTCGACTGTTGTCGTTTGGTCGCGGAAATGGTGACCACCCATTCGGCGCCTGAATTCGCCGAGGTTTTACTGCCGCCAACGGCTTTGCTTTTTAAGTCCTCTTAAGTTTTATTATGCTTCAACCAAACGTGTAATTGAGTAATGCTGGTGCCGAGACCGTTCCGAGTCCCTTCCGCACCAATTCAGCCAAAATAATCACAAACGCTTTCCCTGGCAACTTCAACTTGATCTCTTTGCCCATTTTGGTCTTGAGCAGCGTATGGCGTCAGCACCACTCGAAGCCGAGAGGTGTTGTAGACCTTCCAAGTCATTTTTCAAAGTAAGGTCACTTTTGTTAGATGAGGCGACAACAAACACGACCAGTCATGTTCCATAACAGCCCGCGCTCATGCAAAATCTCCACTGACAGGCGAAATTGTAAGAAAATACATGTTCGCGTAATTACTTTCCACCCTGTAACCGATGTTTTATTCCGTTTCAGACTGTCGTCCGTGCACGGATGAGGAGGCCCTTCTGAACTACTGCACCAGCGACTTTGGTGAGTTACTAGGAGAGGTGACGACCAACTGATTTGACTGGAGCCTAAAATAGTGTGTTTATGGTCTGTGCGTGGTGCATCCCTTACTGTAAAAAGATTATGCAATGCAAGTACCGCGAGAATGTGGAAATATTGGTGTCCCGTTTAATTTAACCATCTAAAAACTTTACCTTCGGAGAGAAAGCCGAAAATAAGGAAAATGTTCACCGTTTAAATAGTGACATAACCTGAGACAAAATGTAAATTAAAATTAACGACCACCTATCTAGCTGCGATTCTCTTAGAGCTATTTCAAATGTCCTATGTCTGCTAGACTTTCAAACCTTTAAATCGTGCCTCCGTCTAGGCCTCGTTGACCTACGCCACTGTGGGACTAGGGTGTGTCGGGTCAAACAGTACCTTTGTACGGGTCTTAACTGAACAGGATAAGATATGAATGTAGATACTGTTATGACATCCTGTGAGAACTCTGTTCAGTGTCATCTTTCCCTCTCGATGGATTGATTTCCTTACTATCTTCCTCTGCGTTTATGTGGGACATACACTCGCGTACATGATCGATGATGTACCGTAAGAGGAAGATGAGGTGTTTCCGAGCGCTCCGTGAGAGAAAGAGATGCACGCAGCGCCGGCTCGGTGCTAAAAAGGTTAAAAAACTCAAGTTTGCTGCCTTGTTTCTAGAAAGGATAGCATCAGCTTCATCCTTAGTGTAGGTATAATCGCTTATTGAAAACGGCCATTCTGTTCTTCGGGTTTTCGTTCCAGCTTTGCTAATGAAGCTGATTTGTTCATCCTGAACCCAACATAAGCGATATTCTCCACGATTGAAGATCTCGTGGTTGTCAGTGACCTATATCTCAACATAGATGGGTATATTCTAGCTGTACCCACTACCCAGCCTTGAAAGCTACCTACGACGCTCACGCGTAACTTGTCCAGATGCTATCACCCCCGTCACCCGGGCCTGGGTGCGAGGATCCACTGTGCACTTTTTTAGACGGGTGTCCAACTTTCCTGGTGGAACCTTCCTGTACGGTGCAGAAGACAGCTGTTGCGTTTTATACGTTGCGAGACAGGGCCATCCTTGTAGGTCGTTGAAGGTAAGGGCAGTTAGAGCTCGGCGTGGCTAGATTTTGAGGGCAATGGGGTGAGATGGGCGCCCTTAGTTCTGGGAAAAGACTCGCCGCCGTCGGCAGTCCTCTTCCCAGAACGGACAGTGACGTGGTAGGGTTATGGTGAGTTGTCCGTCGGCCTCGTATCTCATCTGAGCTCAGCGTTGTACCGCAGAGGCGTCGGCTGGTCAGGGGCGGCGTCAGAGTCGGTACTTAGTGGGGCATCCACCCCACCATCTTCCTAGCCAGTCTCACCGCAGATGGTTTGTCGTTGCTAGTCGTTGTAGTGTCGTCTTCCGAATCTCCCGAATCAGCAGTCCGCTCGTCAAGTCCTCACCAAGGTCCTCACAGTGCCAGCCCGATCCAACAAGTGTGTATTTTACAAAACTGAAGCTCCGACAACATCTCGGCCAAGGTCAACTGAATTCATGGTCGTTAAATCACTGCCGTTTAGTTCACTGCCAAGTTACTACATTTTCCCCCCTCCATTAACGGAAACGCGCTGGTGTCTTGATGCGTCTCCCACACCGCGTTCGCCGTTCCCCACCGTCACGCGCCAGGGACGACGGTCCCCCACCGTCGCCACGTATCGGGGACGACGACCCCTCACCGCGCGCACCGTTGCCACGTATCGGGGACGACGACCCCTCACCGCGCGCACTGTCGCCACGTATCGGGGACGACGACCCCTCACCGCGCGCCGGGGACGGCGGCGGTCCCGCCGGAGACGGCGGCGGTCCCGCCGGAGACGTTACCCTTGCCTGGCACGTGACGGATCTCGAAGTCGTAGACGAGGAGGCGACTGGCCCAGCGACTGATCCTCATTCCTGCCCGTCCGACTCCTCTGGACGTGAGAAGTCGCAGCAGCGCCTGATGGTCCGTCCTGAGGGTAAAGTGAATGCCAAACAGGTACCGATGCCAGTGTTCAATAGCCCATAGAGCAGCCAGTGCCTCCTTCTCAGTCGCACAATACTTCCGCTGTGCTGAGGAGAGGGTAGCGGATGCGAACGCCACGACCCGCTCTCCTTCCGGGTGGATCTGGCTCAGCACCCCACCGAGACCAACATCAGACGCGTCCGTGGTCACCACTGTCGGTAAGGTGGGGTCAAACATGGCAAGCGCAGAACTGGACGTGATCAGAGCGATCACCCTCCTGAAGACCAGCTCCAGTTCCTCAGACCACTCGAACTCGTGACTTGCACTCGAACGAAGTTCCGCGCGCAGAGGCTCCACCAGCGACGAGTAGCCCTGCACGAACCTGGCATAGAAGCCAAAAAGGCCCAGAGCTGACTGGAGGTCAGCCTTGGCCCGCGGTGACGTCATCTCCGTCATCCCTCTCGTCCTCTCAGCACTGACCGAGATGCCAGCTGCGCTCACTGTCAACCCGAGGAAGTCAAGTGTGGGGACACCAAACAAGCACTTCTTCTCGTTCAGGGTGATACGATGAGCGTTCAGTCGCGCGAGGACCTGCTGCAGCCGGACATCATGCTCTGGTGCATCCCTGCCAAACACAATGATGTCATCCATGTACACCATCACCCCTGGCAGACCCGTCAGGACGGCTTCCATGACCTTCTGGAATGCCGCTGGAATGGACGACAGTCCAAAACAGCACCGTTTGTAGCGCCACAGACCCTCGTGCGTCATGAAAGCGGTCAAGTCACGGGACTCTTGGTGAAGCATCAACTGATTGAATGCTGACTTCATGTCTAGTGAAGAAAATACTCTGGCTCCTCTGAGCTTATCTAACATCTCTTGCATGTCAGGCAAGGGGTGCTTACTTGAGATGATGCTCTTGTTCACCTCCTTCAAGTCCAAGCAGAGACGGATACCACCAGTCCGTCGCCGGGTGACCACCACAGGTGACACCCATGGAGAGGAGTCCACCCTCTCTATGACGTCCTGCTTCTCCAGCTTCTCCAGGTGCTCCTTCACTTCACCCCTGACCGACAGCGGCAGGGGTCGCAGCTTCTGACGGACCGGAGTGGCCCCCTCCTTCACCTTGACTCTGTGGACAAAGCCGTGTATGGCGGGCAGAACCTCTGCATCCTCCCCCTCTACCGCACAGACGACATTGCCATCTTTGACTGTAACACTAGCAGCTGCTGTAGGTCACGGCCAAGCAGGGGTACACTGTGGGACTCCACCACGAACAAGGTACCCTCAGTCGAACATCCCCTGTCAGAGGACACTGTGGCCGTCATCATACCACGAACAGGCAGAAGGTGTCCTCCATATCCCTGAAGCCTGATGGAAGACATCTGTAGAGGGACGTGCGCAAACTGCTCCTGATACAAGCTGCTGGGTATCAGACTCACTCCCGATCCTGTATCCACCAACATCTGGACCTGAATTCCATCAATGCCAACAGACATCATGGGACGAGGCACTTGAGAGGGCACATGGTGCACAGTCGACACTTCTACCACACAGGCATGCGAAGACTCCTGACGCTTGCACATGACTGCATAATGCCCTTTCTCATGACACTTGTTACACTTCCTGACCCTGGCTGGACACTCCTTACTCTTGGCTTTATGTCCTTTACGGCCACATGCAAAACAGGTCATCTCACCTTGCTGTCGTTTCTTGCCTTCTGAGTCTCGCCGGGTGGAGAAGCCGCCTCTCCTCTCAGTTGCTGCCACCTCCTTGAGGACCTCTGCCCCCAGCTCCGGAGACCTGCCAGCTAGAGTTTGTTGACGGTCAGCAGCCTGATCAGCAGCGAGAGCGATGACTTCAAGACGCTGCAGGGTTAGGTTTTCTTCCTGACACAGTCTTTCCTTAAGCCTTTGAGAGGAACATCCTTCCAAAAACTGATCTCTTATCATTTCATCTTCTAAGTTACCAAATGCACACTTCTGACTACCTTCCCTCAGATTGGCTAGGTAGGTACGAACAGAAGAAGCCTGCTGTCTGCACTTCCTGAATTTTATCCTCTCTGAGATGATATCAGTCTTACTGACAAACAGACGACATAAGACAGCTACTGTATCCTCAACCAAAGTGGTGTCAGAGGGCTCTGTTTTCACAATACCTCCTGGGCACTCAGCTCTAAACAGTCTCCGCCCTTCCTGCCCAAGGCAGTGCAGGAGCAAGGCCTGCTGCCTCTCCTGACTCCATGCTGACCAACCTATGGCCATGGCATAAACTTCGAAGTCCGGAAACCAGTTATTCCACGGCACCACCGGCGGGCCTGGAAGAGGTAAGAATGCCGCGGGCGGACGAATTCCCTCCATACCTCACGTCTGGTCCGACTACCTCGTCGCCAATTGTAGTGTCGTCTTCCGAATCTCCCGAATCAGCAGTCCGCTCGTCAAGTCCTCACCAAGGTCCTCACAGTGCCAGCCCGATCCAACAAGTGTGTATTTTACAAAACTGAAGCTCCGACAACATCTCGGCCAAGGTCAACTGAATTCATGGTCGTTAAATCACTGCCGTTTAGTTCACTGCCAAGTTACTACAGCCATCAACAAATGCAAGTCATTGACTACCCTAAACACCTGTTTTTGTGCCTGAATACGCCCCTGGCAGTTGTCTCTTCACATGATGCACGGTGCCATCTGGCCCATAATTAGTGCTAGTGACTGGTGCAAGCTCTGCGGCGCGAATAAGGATTTACGGCGCCGGTCCCTTGCAGTTGTGTTGATAGCCTGTCCTGAAGTCACTAGGGTTATCCAACGCTGTGAGAACTGGGTCGGCTTGGGGTGGGACGGGACCGCCCACAGCTGGGCTCGTCTTGGTAGGTCTAGGAATGGTAGGTGAGATATAGGCAGTTTATAAACTTCGTTTCTACCAGAATCGATGGAGAGTAGACGCTAGACACTTCAGCTGTAACTACTGCATCTACCAGAATCAGTAGACAATAGACACCTCAGTTGATGCTTGGTTGATGCGAGGGCGTTTGACAGGCAGTTTATGAGCTCAGTGGCTACCACCATCAGTACTGTAGATACCCCGGCTACTTCTACATATAAGGACGTTTGATTTCACGTACGGTTGTTGCGAGGCGCTGTGACCGCCAACTAAAGACGCTTCACTGCTCAGGTTCGGTTATGGCCGTTCTGATTCCTGACAGCCTGGTCGTGCGAGTCCATTTTGGGATGATGATAGGCGTTTGGGGAATAATTACAGAGCACCGCTGGCCTTATAGCGTGGTGATCGGCGGGTCCCAGTCTTTCTAATGCGTGCTAGAATTCAGCCATGAGCAGTCAGTCACTAGGCGTAGACGGTAGAAGTCGGTCATAGTTCATACCCGTGTGGCACATAGTGTGCATTATTATTCAGTTTTTCTTTCTTTCTTAGCCAGTCGTTACTCGTATCTATGCTGTCTCTTCCAAGCTGTTCCGCTCCCCTGCCCATCAGTTCATTATGATAACCAGTGGCCAGTGACCCTGCCTGACCCGATGCGTTGTTCTGACTCTGCTCTCCACTTCACCTAATGATTATGGTGATCGGCAGACCCACTCGACCTCATGTTCTGACTCCCTCCCTCTCTCTTCTCTTCCGCAGTGGTCCGAGGCCGAATTACCAGCGTCGAGCATCACGAACATCTCGATCGCAGCGCCCTCTTTGTTCGGGCCGACCGCGTCATCCGACAAACCAACGACATCTTCCGGGCGCCGACGGAACTAACAGTTGGCGATGCGCCCGCCAGGGATCTGGGCAATCACATCAGCGAAAGATATCGTCCGGCGCTTCTGGACGCGCTCTCGGGGGCCGCTGAGGCGGCGACGGAGTGGAGGGGTCGTGTGCACGTGCCGCGACACTGTGGCGCCCATGAGGGGCGTGGACACTACATTCTGATGGGCAGACACCGACTGGGTGTGCCGATGGTCACGTGCTCGCTGGCTGCAGAAGAGTGGAGACGCATCAAGGCGACAGCCGAGCGGGCCGGAACCAATGAGTGTATGCTGCAGGCGTAGCATGCGAGCCACGTGCAATGCGATAGGGGTGGCAGTGAGGGGAAATCGGGGACTTGTGGGGTTCCATTGATTAGAAGAAAACTCAGCACAGAAAACCACACATCAACGGAGATGATTTTTGTTTAACGACGCATTCGCCATTCTCAAAGGAGATGATTAATGTCGCGTTAGATTGCTTATCATCTCGTTCCAACCGTGAGATCGGAATCATGATTTTAGCGGAGTTGTGCATTGCTTTCATCTAGACGACGGAGGAGGGTTCCATAGATGTCACGCGATTTTGTGGGATGGCGGGCACCCCTGTACGAAACAGGGGCGATCTGTGATATATGCGTGTATGTCTGTGTGTGGGTGTATGTATATACTGTGCAATCGGTGTCATAAACGTAACTAGCCGGCTAGGCTCGTTAGCATGCCTTAGTCGAAGTGCCAAGAAAATCGCCCAAATTTGGGCATTACTGATAACGCCTTGGGCCGGATATTATCAATCAGTAGGGTAGTCTCATAATTCTGCAAATTATTTTAATCTACATGGCTTGCTGTTGATCTACATTTCTTCCCGGTGAGGCCTAACTTCTTCGCCTCAAATAATGCATTCCTGCATGCCTTATGTTCTATATAGAGCGCCGCCGGTTGTTCGCCGAAACCTTAGCGTTTATTGGCGGTAGGCCGTAAGCGGTGACCGTTTAACCTTTGACCCAGCGCTGTGACTTTGCTCGCCGCTGAACTGCGGTGCTGACTCGCTCGCGGTCGCTGCAGCGCTATGGAGCAACAGGGTATGTGATTGTGTTGCGTCTTGAGGTCGGTGGACCGCTTCACGAAACGACAGTGTGCCATCGTACGCTTGAAAAGTTTCTCGCGTAAATGTATTTCTTACAATATTTGTGACTTATGATCTCCATGATTCTCGGAATTTCCATGCAAAACATTGTTTTTACCCAGACGGTAAATGTTTTTTTTTCCTGCTCATAGACCTCTAACTATCGTATACAGAGGTCTAAGTTTTATCTTTATTTTACCATCATGAACTTCGCATGTTTGCCGACAGAGTTGATTTTATCCATCACGTTGTGCGTTATGTCGTTGTGTGAGGCGGTCCACCGACCACTGTTAGCTTAGAAGGTGGCCCGACTTCGTTCTGGGCCCGTGAATTCTGATGTGCCAACCCTGGGGTGACGGGCGGCCACCGTGACCCCTTGACCTTTCGGTACAGCTGACCGAGCTCACGGCTGTTCAGCCGCGCCGGCGTTACGCGGTTGCCATGGTAACGTGCGCACTGTGCCGCGCTGTCGGGAGCAATGGTCGCAGGCCGTGCCCTGTTCAAGTTGAGAGCCCCTGACGGGCTAACGCCGGCCGTGGTTTGTGAACCACTGGTCTGTGATCTCGAGAGTACGATTGCGTTGTTTGAAGCCTGTTTCACAATGTACAGTGAATACATTTATCCGTACGAAGGGATGCTGTTTAATCGAGTGACAAGACGTAACATTCTACCATTAAAGGTCAACACTCACGAACAGAACAAGAGATCGGAAAAGCGGAGATGAGTCAGAATAAGGGGTCATTTTGGCTAATTACACCCACGGTAACTCGTTCTTGGTGCATTGTGGCTCAGACTGTTGACAACTAAACCAAAAAGAAAAGGTGTCAGAATGGTTGTCAGAATTATATCAGAATAGGTGTAAAAAAAGCATGATTTATTCGACGCGTTACTCGACCGTCGTTTTTTTAAGTTTCCAGAAACAAAACATTAGGCATACACCATACATAAAACCACCACAATAAAACAAGCGGTACAACATCAGCACTCACTAATTACATGACACGTTGTGACCCCAAAAAACACGACCACCGTCACGTTCAGACCACGGGACACGAGTGAGTCACGACTCACGCACCATCCCATAGCACCAGGCTGACCAATGTCTATGGAGCGACCGAAGTTTCCAGGGACCAGTTTTCTCCAAACGCGTTTGTTCAGCCAAGAAAACACCGACAGGCTTGAGATCTCCATAATGTTTAATGCGCTTTCCAGGCTGGATAAGCCAGTTAACTTGTGGGGTTGGATGATGTAAGCCTGACCTGTAAGCGAAGTGGTCTGCCCGCAGCGTGGGACCAAAGGCAGCCTGGCTCTTCTTTCTGCACGGAAGGCTAGGCTAACCGCCGTAAAGTGTCTAATGAGGCTAGCCTAGCTCTATATCAGTCCAAACGGCCAGACTAACTGGCCACCTTATGGGCTCTGATACGGCCAGACTTGCCTGTCAGCACGGATGATAACCCTACCGCCTTGGAGAGTCAAGTGCGGCCAGCTTTACCTTCTGTCATCCCGGGTGAAGCGACTACCCGCCGTGAAGTGTTGATATGAACACGACCGTGTCATCCGGCTGCAGTTCGTAGCTCAGCTGACCGAGAAGTTCCCAGTCTGCGTCATTCACCAGAACCAGGATCCCTGGACGAACCGTCTCCCCCTGAGGGAAACGGGAGGCGTCAAAATATACATGTATGGCAGAATAGGGGGTTACATGACGGAAGAGGGGCCATATGACATCAGATAAGGCAAACATGATAAAAGCAGGGGTGGATGTGCCGAGTTGGGGTAGCACGAGCTTTCCCAATTCCACACCGGCTTGGCTATGGAGCCGCAACAGACGGCGGAGGACAAGGTCACCGCTAGGGCGGCGGCGGATTTGCTGCGCCCGTGCAACCCCAACTCAGCACGTTTGTCCACCCCTGGATAAAAGAGTGGTAAAATTATCAAAAGGTGTCGCATGACAGTTCGATAGGCCGTGTCACAACATGGCACATGTCACAAGAAGGCCAAAAGATATCAGAGGTTTATATGGGATCATGCAGGGTCCTATGGGACCGAGGGGATCAAAAGTCAGCAGAAGGGCCATATTTGGTATCAGGAATCATCAACGTCACCACAATCGGTAGAAGCCGGTTCATCGTATGGGACCAGAAGGGCCACCATGGGAAGCGGTGACACAGGGCACAGTGCACACAACAGTGCCACCTAGCGGCAACAGGGGACAAAACATGAATCAGCAGCTTCTGGACGGTCAGCCGCAGGCATGGCCGATGGCTGTCTGCTGCAACCAGGCAACGGTGCTGTCAGCGCATGCACATGTGTCGACATTCAAAACTCCAACCAACAGACTCTCATTGTTTCTACTTTCTACAGCAACTACAGATTAGCCACCGACACAGAATAACGATTGCACTTGTCAAAGACCACAGCATAATGGCTTCACTACTATCTAGCCTGGTTAAAGCCCTAACCTGCAACTAAGTAACTTTTATGTACTAGCTGACTCATAATACCAATAAATACTTTAACTACCTACGGGAAATGCAGTGTAGTAAAGAGTGTTTCTTAAATATATTCGTAGGCTACTAGCTCTCCACTACATACCTGTCCGGTAAATGCAGCACTGACAGCATGTTCATCCCTTCTCTATCCTCACCTGCATGAATAGCTCTGGCCGCTCCTTCAGCAGGTTATCCCTCAGCCAGGGCAGCAGGCCCTCCATCGTCCACACCGAGTCTCCGTCGCCCCGCTCCGGCAGCGTCACTTTGTGCTGTTTGACGTTCCCGAAGAGGAGCTCGGCACCGCCACTGAACTCGACAGTTAGCTGCATTGTGGTGTGAAGAGAGAACTGTGGAAACGGTATCGGTTGTGTAAATGTTAACACCGGTTGGAATGATATCAGCAACTGTGGGATCAGTGTAAACTGTGGAAAAACGGTAGCCCCTGCGGTTAATGGTAACAAATGTGGAAACGGTTTCGTGAACTCTGGGAACAGTATCGAGTGTGTTAATGACATCGGTCGAGAAAACAGTTATAGAGCATCAAAACGATATGTCACTAGCGGAAATGCAATATCAACAATGAAAACAGTATCTCTCTTGTGGAGACCCAGCCGCAGAAGGAAAAGGTCAGCTGGGGTATTTCTGAGATTGCTCGCAGTTCAGTTCAACTGATTGCATTCCACAATGACGAACCAGTCGCACACAATGATGGATAGTCCATTCTCTTCTCTTACCGGCTCTAACCGTCGTCGTAAAAGTCGTTCCGTAAAGTCCGTACGAGTGCCTCAGTTAGGAGGTAGGTGGGAGTGCCCTCGCCTGCTCAGTTGGGCGGCGGGAGTGCCCTCGCCTGCTCAGTTGGGTGGCGGGAGTGCCCTCGCCTGCTCAGTTGGGCGGCGGAGTGCCCTCACCCCTCAGTTGGGCGGTGGGAGTGCCCTCACTCCTCAGTTGGGCGGCGGCAGTGCCCTCACCTGCTCAGCCAGCGGCGGGAGTGCCCTCACTCCTTAGTTGGGCGGTGGGAGTGCCCTCGCCTGCTCAGTTGGGCGGTGGCAGTGCCCTCGCCTGCTCAGTTGGGCGGTGGCAGTGCCCTCGCCTGCTCAGTTGGGCGGTGGCAGTGCCCTCGCCTGCTCAGTTGGGCGGCGGGAGTGCCCTCGCCTGCTCAGTTGGGCGGCGGGAGTGCCCTCGTCTGCTCAGTTGGGCGGCGGCAGTGCCCTCGCCTGCTCAGCCAGCGGCGGAATCTGGTGAGCGGAGCGAGCGATCGACTCCCACTGGTAGCCCAGGTGAGTGGCGAGAATGCGTAACTTCTGAACTGTTCCGCACGTGTGGTCGATGGCTGACTCCTGCAGAAAGAGGCACCCGGTTAGTTTTGAACAGAGCGGGGAGTCACACAAAAGCTTATAAGAAAGAACGACTGGCGATACAAAGAGGGGCATACATGTCGCCAAGTGCATAACTATGTATAGCTCTGAATATTGTGTCCCAAATACCACAATGAAATAAGCGTGATGTCTGTATAAAATTTACTATTGAAGGAAATCTCCAAACTCCCTACAACATTTTCAGTTCAGTCAACGGAATACTACTATGAACGTCAAACCCCTTGAGACCCCACTTTTTTGCGATAATTTTTAAATGCGTCAACTTTCGTTGACAATATTCTGGCAATGTATGTTTCAGAACCTGCCGAAACTTTTATTACTAAGGTATTTTGACGCCAAACGATTATGGAAGGTACTTCTCATTCACTCGTAATACTAAGGTCAATTCAGGCCCGGGCAGAGGCTTGCGCTCGGCCACACTCGAGCCCCGCCACCAGCGCCATCTGCTCTAAATGCCATCTACCAGCGCCCGCTACCGCTACCAGCTACCGCCCATCATCAAGCCTGAATGGAGCGAGAGATGCGAGTGACCGGTCGCCGGGCAAGGAGCGCCGGAGGGGTAGGGCGGAGCTTAGCGCTGACGTCATTGCGTGGCTCCGCCCCATGAGCGCGTAGCCTCTACCCAAACAGCAGATTCGTTCCGTGAAATTTAACACTAGATGCCGGCAGCGCTCGTGCGTTGCCTTGGGCCAGAATTGGAGGATCCATTTCCAGTGCAGTCTTCTCCAGTGCAGTCATTTTCATAACATCATGTAGCGTGTGTCTAGTTCTATCAGTGTACCGACTTTTGTGTCGCTAGATCGACGTTTCCCGGGATCAGAGGATCCCTCGTCAAAACCGTTATCCGCCCCCCGCACGCGCAGCTTGCACCCCTCGGATATTATCTCGCCGGAATGTCGTGATCAAATGTATTCTTCTTATGACCTGCAAGTTTTGAACCAGTTAGAGCTGCCGCTTACCCTGCAGGCGTGGCAACGTAAGAAGGGGTGCAATCGGCTTGCACGTGCATAGCTCATGCACCACAGAGTTTAGCTCAATCAAATGTGCATTATTTTGGAGGCCTTGCCTGGGACTACCATTGAACCGATTTTGAGGTTGATAGCTTACAATTTCTTTGAGCCAGAGGACCTCACGTCAAAACGGTTTTCCGACCCCAGCACGTGCAGCCTGCACCCCTCGCAGACGGTGACCCCCCTGGAAACTGGTTCAAGGTGTTACCGATGTGTCCCGCCAGTATGGCTTTGCCCGTGACCTCCGGTTGACCTGTAGCCTTGACAAAAAATTTCGTGTCACCGAAACTTTGAAGCGGAATAGCATGTGCCACGAAGCACCGAGCGAACCGAGGCCAGCACCAAAAGTTTACCTCGCCGGAGACGAATCAAACGGTCCCACTTTCGTCCCGATCGGTCCACCCACTTTGACTCCAGGTCCAAAAAAGCTTGGACAAACTCACACACATACTCACTGACAAACAGGTTCAGCCGAACTTTTTTTCAGCGACCCACCAATGGGAATTTCCGGATGCAAAAGCATGCTATCGCATGCTTTTGATCCTCCAATTCTGGATTACGAGTGAATGAGAAGTACCTTTCATAATCGTTTGGCGTCAAAATACCTTAGTCCAGAATTGGAGGATCAAAAGCATGCGATAGCATGCTTTTGCATCCGGAAATTCCCATTGGTGGGTCGCTGAAAAAAAGTTCGGCTGAACCTGTTTGTCAGTGAGTATGTGAGTATGTGAGTATGTGAGTGAGTTTGTCCAAGCTTTTTTGGACCTGGAGTCAAAATGGGTGGACCGATCGGGACGAAAGTGGGACCGTTTGATTCGTCTCCGGCGAGGTAAACTTTTGGTGCTGGCCTCGGTTCGCTCGGTGCTTCGTGGCACATGCTATTCCGCTTCAAAGTTTCGGTGACACGAAATTTTTTGTCAAGGCTACAGGTCAACCCGAGGTCACGGGCAAAGCCATACTGGCGGGACACATCGGTAACACCTTGAACCAGTTTCCAGGGGGTCACCGTCTGCGAGGGGTGCAGGCTGCACGTGCTGGGGTCGGAAAACCGTTTTGACGTGAGGTCCTATGGCTCAAAGAAATTTTAAGCTATCAACCTCAAAATCGGTTCAATGGTAGTCCCAGGCAAGGCCTCCAAAATAATGCACATTTGGTTGAGCTAAACTCTGTGGTGCATGAGCTATGCACGTGCAAGCCGATTGCACCCCTTCGTACGTTGCCACGCCTGCAAGGTAAACGCAGCTCTAACTGGTTCAAAACTTGCAGGTCATAAGAAGAATACATTTGATCACGACATTCCGGCGAGATAATATCCGAGGGGTGCAAGCTGCGCGTGCGGGGGGCTATGGATCGTGGGCTATGGATCCTCCAATTCTGGCCCAAGGCAACGCACGAGCGCTGCCGGCATCTAGTAATAAAAGTTTCGGCAGGTTCTAAAACACACATTGCCAGAATATTGTCAACGAGAGTTGACGCATTTAAAAAGTATCGCAAAAAAGTGGGGTCTCAAGGGGTTTGACGTCCATAGTAGCGTTCCAACACACCTCTGCCTCAGCTAGAGTGGGCCTTTTCTAGCACACTAACCTGAGCAGCAGTGGCGCGCGCTGCCGCCAGCAGTGTCTCGTGTGACCTGGAGCCTCGCACCACCTGTCGACACACGGACCCGCAGGCCTCCACGTTCCCGGCCACGCGTTCGACCAGTTTGGTGCGCGATTCGGCGAACAGAGAGCGGGCGCTGCTGCTGGAGGCTGAGGCCATCAGATGGCGATGAGCCAGCCGGATGGAGGCGAAGCTGGGGTAGAAAGGGAACATGGGTTAGTAACTCTTATTAGAAGTCATAACAGTATTGTTAACCCGCGACCTGGTGGGGGGGGGGGCTATTTTTTGCCCCCCCCCCCTCCAGACTTTTCGATATATCTCCAGAACCGCTGCGCCGATCGTCACAAAACTTTCAGTACCCTCCCGGACATCAATTTTACACATTGTGACCAAAAAATTTTCCAAAGGCTATGATAGGTTGGCCGGAAATGACGTCAGAGTGACGTCATGTTCTGCCGTTTTCGACCCAAAAAAGGGTTTCGCGGGCAGAGCTGTCAGGTCTATAGCTTTGCAAATACAGAAAAATGATAGTAACATAAAAGTTGAAGAATCGACAGGGCTACAAAACTGCTATCTCGGATTTTTGAAATTTTTGGTTTTTGACCCCCAAAAATCAAAAAATATATTTTTTGGATATAATAATCGCAAAATCCAAAAAGTTTTTTGAATTTCGCAAAAACCGGAATATATGTGATAGTCCTTACGGCCTTCCATCCACATACCAAATTTGAGATTGATACCTCTTTTTTTGGCGAAGTTATAGCGAAAAAACTGTTCAAAATTGATGACGTCAAATTTTCAAACTCAATTTTTAGCAGTTCTAGACCCCGTAGCGCAAAACAAAGACCACAATTAGACTCCCCGTGACGAGCTGCATCGAATCAATACCCATTTTATGCAAAACTATCAACTTTAAAATTTGACCTTTTTTGGCCTGACCTTGACCTGACCTTGACCTCAACTTCACCAGAAAGTGACCTAAGCCGTACCTGATAGTCTTATAACCAGCATCATTGAGTTGGAAATGAAAAATTGGCCATAAAACATGCATCACACAACCTTAGTAAAGTTGGGCTCATGTGACCTGACCTGTGACCCTTGGTGACCTGACCTGAGACCTGACCTGGTATTGTCAGTGACCTCTAATAGCAACATATCTACTAGGCAACTGACGCCCTATCGCTGATTCTCGACAAAATGCGTTTTCCTCGGTGTTATAGCGCATTCCCTAGAAGACCCGTGAACGGTGAAACATTTCATCTTTGACCCGACCTGTGACGTCATCGGTGACCCCTAGGTCAATGAAATTTGGTTTCCTTCGACAAATTTGACAGGCCTTTCGAACGCCGTTTGAATTTTGCGGATCCGTCCAGTAGTTTCGGAGATACAAGGGGGGGGGCAAAAAATAGCCCCCCCCCCACCAGGTCGAGTTATAAACAGACCCCACCAGGGCGCGGGTTAACATCTCATTAACTAGCATAATATGATAGAAGAACTATGGCTCTATGGTAGAACAAGAATCTTGGGTAGAACAACAGACAGCAATGTGTATCACGCAATTTGCAGATGATATAATAGAGGAAGTGGCAGCATTCATCTATGTGAGATAAGGTATCTTGGGATGTTGGGTTAACAAAACAGAAAAGGCCCATAATAAATGACAATTGGCAATAAACAAGTTTTGAGGGCACTGCACAGTGCACAGTGCTTAGTTCCTTGTCACAGAACACTATCCTGAACTTCCTGAAACAAAAATAATTACATGACTCTATTTAGCAGCAGCAGGTCACAGGCACCTGTAATGACCAGGGTGTAACATCTAATGAAAACAGGATAAAGGCTGAGTGTCCTGAATAAGATGCTTCATATATTGCATAGGTATCAGCTGGAAGATATCCTTAATAGGTTCTTGTGATAGCCATTGGTAGCAAATATGAAAAATAAAGGTAAGTGGATGCTATGCCAAGCTCTCTGAACACTGCTTACCTTTTGGTAAAACTTGCAAAGAGTTCAAAATGTTGTTCTGCTGATTTCTGTCAGTACTTTGCACTAGGGTAAGGAGAGGTAACTTCATGAAAAATACAAATCTTTCTCTATAGAGTCAACATTTTGCATTGGTATGAAAGGGATTAAGCATATCTAGCATGACTATTTCTTTGCACATGCTATGGTCCTTCTTGTTTGTTTTATTGTTTATGGATTTTTCACAAATTGCATTTAAAGAAAGACGTTTTAGCTCCTAACTTCGTACATAGGGTTATAACTTCGTAAATTATCTTTCGATGATGATAAACAAGTGTTTGTCTTGGGCTGTCGTAAAAGCATAGCAAACCAAACACCACTTGTTATTTCTCAACTCGGTATGTTGGGAAACGGTAGGTACGCTAGTTTAAAATAACCCAGAAAAAGAGGAATTGACCTCAAAAAATACATTTTGGGTTATGCCATATAAACTGAAGGAGGGACAACTTGATCTGTGTTTCAACTGATGTGCGATTTAGTGCATTCAAACAGGCTCTCATTTGTAATTTCCTGACTGTGGAAAGTCTGTTTCAGCCTCAAGCTAAGATACAGGAGTGGTATAAGATCTGTACCTAAGACTTGATAAGGAGTAGGAAATGTGAAACCGTCATCCTGAGCTGTGGCAGGACGGCACCTGTAATCTGCAAGAATCTGTAAGAATTTTGGGCAGCATATCCACCACGTGTTCCCCGCCCAACGCACTAAACCTAGAAAGTCAAAGTGGAAATGAAACGCAGGGGAGCGGCCGATGTTTACGTAAAATAAACGTACCAGCAAAGCAGCTAAGAAATGAGCCAGTTTATTTGAAAATTACCAAGCCCACTTCACAGAGTCACTTACAGGTATATCCTAAATAATAATTAAGAGCACTGGCAAAAAAACAGCACGCAGTCTTATGATTTACACGCTTATCTAAAAAAAGGCGACCTCCGATCGTATTCTAATAGACAATCAGTGAACAGGATGCCGAACAGTCACTTACATTCTATCCAATCACCTTTCCGCTCACAGAATACGCCGCGCACGTTTACTTTCGGAAACATAAATTAAATGAAACGGCCTTGAATGAAACTGTTGCGCAGTAAATGTTTTTATAAATTGCTTCCAAATTGGGTAATTTTAGTTTGTACAGTAATTTTCCCGTGATATATGGGTACAGGCCGGTACAGGCGGTTGGGCCAAGGCCGTATATAAGAGAGGCCGTAATAAGGCCGTATATAAGGGTTGGGCAAAGTGGGCTCAGGGCTCAGGCTGTCTAGTCCTAGTCCACAACCGCACGCGTGACACCGCAGCGCACTTACTACTTTGGACGTTAAGTGCCGGATACCACTTTACACTAGGAAATCTCAAAAAAGGCACAACGGACCATTTTACGACCTAGGGTCTCGTAATTACGAGCACTCAGTATGGCACGTTATGATAATATACGCCGGTAGCGTACCCAGCTTCGTTGAATCATTTTGGTTATTTAATATGCATCATCGATCACCTTTTCATGAGGGCTCTGTAGGTACGTACCTATGCGCTCACTAGCCACCGCCGCCACTCGCCAGAAATGATAACGCGACAGCTTACAGATACCTAAACTCACGCCGACCATTTATAAATATGACGGGACGTAACCGATACCCTATCGCCAAGTCGGTACATGTGACCTTTGGACCGACCAAACGATAGGATACACAAGCATTCAGCAGTTATCCGACGATCATTGTGTACACGAATCACAGGATGGCGGTGACGGTCTCGCCGCTGAAAATAGCGGACTTATGTTCCTGTAAGCCAAATGGCAGATGATTGACGACATAATTGATGCAATACCTAGTAGGTAGGTCCCAAGTAAGTAATTAGATAAAGCCAATGCAATGTAAGAGTTGAAATGGCCACTATACATAAGAAACCAATGACGAAAAAAGTCACGCTGGCAGTAAATTGTCCTCGATCATAAATGCGCCGGTAGTCCGTTTCGATCATAAATGTGAGGATGCCGTTTAGTGTTACGCCGTTTCAATAACAGCAAAATGATAAAGAAAAAGGAGGCCAACGAGATCTTTCCTTCCGTACATTCTCTCTCCCCTTATCACATAGCTCATGATCAGGTATACAGCCACAGCAGTATATCAGTAAGTCGGCGCGGCGACATGATGACTCTCCAAAACCGCCTGCGATGGGTAGGGCGCCTCTTAGGGGGCCTCTTGAGCAGTGGCGTTCCCAGGCGAGCGTATGACAGAAGACATAGACGGCTTGGTTCTCGGGCGGCGAGTGCGCCTACGGCTATGAGACGCTCGAGCGAAATAAACGGCAGTGAAACCAGAGATCACACCGGATGCTTTACGGATCATTCATCATGTGCGTCGGGCAGTAACATTGAACATAAATGACGAAAAGTTCATTAAAACTGAGAAATGAAAAAAATATCACCCGAATAAATGGACGATTTATTGTTCAGCACGGAGTTACTGTCATATATATGTAAACGGTCAGTACGGAAAAGACGTACAGTCGTGTACAGGTTGATGGTCCCCTACTCTTTATCCACCGGGTTCCTATGGCTCAGCATTGGCAGCAGCCGCCTGGTACCGGTAGGCTGTGCCGCATGACCCGAGAGTGAAGCGGCACAGTCTACCCACGCCGTTTGACATCGGCTCGGGTTGCCGGGTGGAGCGCTTTGTAGACCAGCTGTTGCGTCAGACCAGCGCGGGGGGAGGGGCTCGTCTCGGTGGTTGGCGTGGGCTGGCGAGTGGTGTGGGGCGTGTTGGTGGACCATGGGGGCTGGGCAGGTGTGTGTGTGTGGTCACTTGCTGCATTGCACATTTTGCGTCGCTTAGCAATTGCATTCCTGTTTTTGCTAAGCACAATGCACGGAAGACCCAGCGAATATAATTTACTTTACTTGTGCATTGTGCAAAACGTGATTTGGCACGGTATCGAGGCAACCATAGGTCTTGTGCCTATGCAATATGCATGATATTTAGGCAATACGTTTATGAAAACGGTAGATTGATGCTGGATGTCAATCCGTATTGCTAAATGTCGGCACGTATTAAGTGAATGAATGAATCCAATCAATCAAACAATCAATAGACATGTATAAAACCGTTTAAATGGCTCGCAACCACTAATAGCAATCACACCATCCTAACTCGGAAAAGCAGCCGGAGCCCTGATGAGGCTCGAACCGGGACTCCACGCTGTAAATTTTGCCAATGATCCATCATCATTCCACCAAGCTAGAGTAACCGGCAACCGAACCCACAAAAACATTAATTGACTTTGCCGCCGACCTCCCGGCCCCGCCGCCCGCCCGGCCAGACTTTGCCCCGGCCGTTGCCACCATCCGGTGTAGCTCAGCGTAGGAGTGCTCGACTGTCAAACTGACCGGTAGTGAGGGGCCCGGTTCGAAACGCTTCGGATGCTGGATGTTTAATTCTCGGTGGGAGGCTTTACGTTTAGTCCACTTTTCAGAAAGATCATTTGGTGACTGACCTGTTTTCTTTCTTTGCTGCAATTCATGAGGAGACCGTATGCACCCTTACCTGTCCTTCCGCATCCCACTTGGGAGATGGGTGGTTGCCCCCCCCCCCCATGGGTTTGTGAATATCTCTAAAACGAATTTTTGGAGGGGGGATACGATCGGTTCTATGCGACAAGTGACCACACACGCCCAGCCCCAGGTCCGCTCACTCCCTACCCATATCACCCCCTCCCCACACCACACTCCAGCCCGCCTTATCCACCGAGCCGAGCCATAACGAGCCTCAGCGCTCCGGGGCGCGACCTGTCAGCGAACCGGCGCGGCGGGGACGCGGGCCGGCGGTTGCGTGCGCCGCGGGGGCAGGGGCGCGTCCAGGCGTCGGGGACATCGAGGCGGCGCGAGCTGGCGCCACCACGGCGACACTGGACCAGACCTGATAATTGGACACCTCAACATTCAGTCGTTGAAGCCCAAACTGCCGGATCTGCGAGACGACATTCATAGAGGAGTTCACGGATTTGATATATTGTCACTGTTATTATATAACAGTGTTCGCTGACAGGTCGCGCCCCGGGGCGCTGAGGCTCGTTATGGCTCGGCTCGGTGGATGAGGCGGGCTGGAGTGTGGTGTGGGGAGGGGGTGATATGGGTAGGGAGTGAGCGGACCTGGGGCTGGGCGTGTGTGGTCACTTGTCGCATAGAACCGATCGTATCCCCCCTCCAAAAATTTGTTTGAGAGATATTCACAACCCATGGGGGGGGGGGCAACCACCCATCTCCCAAGTGGGGTGCGGAAGGACAGGTAAGGGTGCATATGGTCTCCTCATGAATTGCAGCAAAGAAAGAAAACAGGTCAGTCACCAAATGATCTTTCTGAAAAGTGGACTAAACGTAAAGCCTCCCACCGAGAAATAAACACCCAGCATCCGAAGCGTTTCGAACCGGGCCCCTCACTACCGGTCAGTTTGACAGTCGAGCACTCCTACGCCGAGCTACACCGGATGGTGACTGTGGCCAGGGCAAAGTCTGGCCGGGCGGGCGGCGGGGCCGGGAGGTCGGCGGCAAAGTCAATTAATGTTTTTCTCAATTAATGTTCTGTTTTTTGTTCGGGTGCCGGTTACTCTAGCTTGGTGGAATGATGATGGATCATTGGCAAAATTTACAGCGTGGAGTCCCGGTTCGAGCCTCATCAGGGCTCCGGCTGCTTTTCCGAGCTAGGATGGTGTGATTGCTATTAGTGGTTGCGAGCCATTTCAATTTAAACGGTTTTATACATGTCTATTGATTGTTTGATTGATTGATTGATTCATTCATTCATTTAATACGTGCCGACATTTAGCAATACGAATTGACATCCAGCATCAATCTACCGTTTTCATAAACGTATTGCCCAAATATCATGCATAGGCAAAAGACCTATGGTTGCCTCGATACCGTGCCAAATCACGTTTTGCACAATGCACAAGTAAAGTAAATTATATTCGCTGGATCTTCCGTGCATTGTGCCTAGCAAAAACAGGAATGCAATTGTTAAGCGACGCAAAATTTGCAACGCAGCAAGTGACCACACACACCCGCCCAGCCCCCATGGTCCACCAACACGCCCCACACCACTCGCCAGCCCACGCCAACCACCGAGACGAGCCCCTCCCCCCGCGCTGGTCTGACGCAACAGCTGGTCTACAAAGCGCTCCACCCGGCGACCCGAGCCGATGTCAAACGGCGTGGGTAGACTGTGCCGCTTCACTCTCGGGTCATGCGGCACAGCCTACCGGTACCAGGCGGCTGCTGCCAATGCTGAGCCATAGGAACCCGGTGGATAAAGAGTAGGGGACCATCAACCTGTATACGACTGTACTATAACGCAAGTCATGCAGACAAAATTGATGGACAATATAAGTACGTCAATCTGAAAGGGTAACATATAGGTAAGATGGAGATAAGAATTAAGAAGAGGTGAAAAGGCAATGTTGCTGTAACACTTCGACGTCAATTTGTGCACAACATATGTAAATTGCATGTTGTACTTACATTTTGTGTGACTCTATCGATATAAACCCGTCTGAGCTTGAGGCCAGGTTGAACTAATTAACTTCGGAGAGCCCCAGCCGAATCAAGAAGGCACTTAATGTCCCCAGTCCCGTGGCCTAAAGCCGACAGGCTCAGGCTTAAAACGTCTTAATTTGTTACAGCCGAAATTATATCAATTGGATGGATAATATCGGATGACGGGTGACATTTACCGTTTTACGTATACTTATTTCCATTTTGATGGGGAGAATTCGATGTTACAGTCATGTGAAACATCTTCCGTCTTCAGTGTTCCCGTCCACTAAGCAATAGTTATTTATTGCTTCTTATACCTACATAATTCATATATAGTTCTTAATCTTATACATACCTAAATAATCTTTAGATATAATTGTATTCAACTATACCTACAGATTTATATCTAGAAATTAAAAATAGATATAACATCTTGTCTTCCATCTTTGCGCGATATCCATTTATTTTACGTTAAACGTCTGAGAATTGTTTACATTAGACGGTTTGACCTTTCACCCGCGGCTTGTTTGCTCCCACGGACGCTGTGTTGAGGCTAGGATCATTAACTTCTCTAAGCGCCTTACATCTCAACATCAAACACTATCTGTTTCTTTTTTGCCCGCTGAGCGCCACACGCCCGTCAACTGAGTGCGCCTCTGACAGTTCAGAGTGCCAAGATACAGCCGTCGGCCGGCAGCGGGCGGGGCTCGGCACTCCTTGCGTCATCTCGGTACGGGCAGGATGTGTGTGACGCGCGCGATCTGTCTGCTTGTGTTGGCGACCGTAGCGGCGGCATCCCAGGATGCCCGCCCACTGGTGACCGTGGAGTCTGGCGCTCTGCGTGGTCTGAAACAGCGATCACTCTCCGGACGTTACTACACAGCGTTCAAGGGCATCCCGTATGCCGAGCCACCAGTGGGAGCTTTGAGATTCGAGCCACCACAGCCGCATCGCCCCTGGACCGGCGAACGAGATGCCTCGGCGCATGGAAACAACTGTCTGCAGTACAGCATGATGCACAACTTCTCCAAGCTGGGTCAGGAGGATTGTTTGTTCCTGAATGTGTATTCGCCTCGCCTGCCGGAGTCAAAAGAAGAGAAGGGTCTCCCGGTTATGGTTTGGGTGCACGGTGGTGGTTTCATCAGCGGATCTGGCGACGACGACATCTTCGGCGTTGATTATCTCCTTGACGAGGATGTCGTCGTGGTGACGTTCAACTACCGCTTGGGCGTCTTCGGCTTCATCACGACCGAGGACGGCTTCGCCACCGGCAACCTGGGCCTCCGTGACCAGGCTCTGGCGCTTCAGTGGGTGCGTGATAACATCGCGGCTTTCGGAGGTGACCCAGAACTCGTCACTATCTTCGGGGAATCTGCAGGAGGTGCCAGTGTTTCGCTTCTGGTAGCCAGTCCTCTTACAAAGGGCCTGTTCCACCGGGCCATCAGTCAGTCGGGGTCTGCCAGCTCTTGCTGGTGTCTGGCGGGAGACCAGCATGAAGAGTTGGCGGTGCTTACCACTGGACTCGGCTGCCCCGAGAGCGGTGCAGCCGCGCTGGAGTGCCTCCGTCAGAAACCTGCCGATGACATCATGAAGGTGGTGGCTAGTGTTGGTTTCGATGCTGGCGGCCTAGCTCTGCAGTTTCATCCTCGTGTCGATGCCGATGCGAAGGAACCGTTCGTGCCCGATCAGCCTAACCGCCTACTGAAGAGCGGTCGCTTCAACAGGGTGCCTTGGATGATGGGTTCCACGCAGGACGAGGGTCTCTTCGTCGCCGGCTTCCTTCACCGTGACTCTGAGGGTCTTGCTCGCGCACTCAAGGGAGACTTAGAGGCATGGTCGTCCGCGTCGTTCCTTTGCGGAGAAGGCCTTTCATCTAAGACCGTCAACGGCGCTCCTCTTGAAGTGGCCGAGAAGATCCGCGACTTCGTCCTGAGTAAGGGAGGCAACCCCACCGCGGCGCTCATCAAGTTCTTCAGCGACCGTTTCTTCACACTGGGCATGAGTGCCGAGCTGTCCCTGGCTTCCGAGCTTGTCCCCGTCTACCAGTACCTGGTGGACCATATCGGCCCCGGCCAGATGCGCTTCGCCGATATGATCGGTGTCGAGGCACCTCCTCTGCCTCTCGTCTCCCACGGAGACGACATGGCCTACCTCTTCCGCGCGGCTCTCCAGCGTCGTCCGGAGCCAGGATCGCCCGAGTACGCGCTCGTGCGACTGTTCGTACGGCTGTGGACGAGCTTTGCTCAGCACGGCTACCCATCAGCTCCTGAGCTGGGAGTAGAGGACTGGCCCATCTACACCTCCCAGAGCGGGACCTACCTCCGGCTGAACGCTGCTCCGGCGCTTGCCGAGAAGTTCGCCGAAGAGCGTGTCCGTTTCTGGGAAAGCCTTCCTCTGAAGGAGCCGTGGAACGCGCAACGCTGGAGTTCGTCGAAAGACGGTCATGATGAACTGTGAACTGTGACCGTCCGATGCGAAAATGTTAGTGAATGTCATGTGTAGGAATGCTAACCAATGAATAGTTAAAAAATCGTTCTTTCTTAGTATTAAAGGACATCTGATTCCAATGACCAATACCGACCACAGAAGTCAGAAGTGTCCGATGTGATCGATGATACGGTGCAAAATGTGAGATGGATTGGATGCACAATGTGATAGATGTGGCACCATTGATACCTACCTACCTGTCATAGAGCTTAGTTGACTGTTGTATGAATACGTTCGACTATGAGCGTACCCAGTTGCCTTGCTACATTACCTAATACATATCAGCTCAAATATATATCTTTGAACGTCCTATCTCGTTCATTAACTTTTCGTCACCAGTCAATGACCATTGTGTCACCGACCAGTGACCAATGACAACACATGTCTGGCTAAGTAAGTCCATAGTGTAAAGCCCGCGCCTGTAGGAATAGGTTTTCCTGGTCGACGGGCGCCGCGTCGGAACGCGAGGCTGGCTTTCACCTCGGGCGGGCTGACCGTTCCGACTCCCGCCTCGAGCTGGGTTATAACGCGTGAGCGCCGGCCGATAGGGGCTCTCGTGTGCTGGCTTCGCTCGAGGTAGGTGTCCCGCTGACCCGAAGGTTGGGACTTTGTGCTCACCCCGCCTTCCTAGCTAGGCTAGGAGCAAGGTAACGTAAAATGTAGATTGCGCGTCGTTAGGGTATGCTAGGATAGTATGCGCGTTTCTGCGATGTAGTAGCTTTTCCCGTAGACGATCAATAACTTACTCAAGCAGTATTGTTTTACTATTTTGGCCTTATTCGGGATTTATGTAAATAATAACGGAGCAGAAATCTTTACCTTGTTTGGCAGAGAGAGACATTCGAGACGAGAGACGAAAGACGGAGATAATGAATGAGTCACGGAGTTTAAACATTTAACGTAACATAAATGTAATATTTCGTTCCTTGCAATTAAGACGGTGTATTGCACACCGCAACCCACGAGGGGCCTCGCGACCCACCGTGCGGCAAAGGTGTTGCATTCCCTGACCACCGGATGCTAAAGTAAAGTAAATATAATAGTTGGACCACCACGGCTGGGTGGCAGACGGCTGTTGGAGGATTGCACGGGTGTCGGCGGTAGCGCAGCCGCCGGCATCACGAGTACATTACATAATTTTGGTGCATCGGCCGGGAATCGCTGTTACGTGTGCACATTGCTCAAGTCGGCAGTGACCCTTCTTCCGATATGGAGAAGCCCGTAAGTCTCGACCGAGCAGGCTAGTTTGCGTGCACAATCATGTCAGTCGGTGTGACCCTTGTTCAGCCGCTATATAAGTCTTAAACTGCGTTAGTTGGTTGGAGAAGCCGGTAAATCCGCGACCCAGACACCTGTTGTTTGGGCGCATGTTGTGCAAGTCGGCAGCGATCCCTTCTCTTGATATAGAGAAGCCCATAAGTCTCGACCGAACTAGCTTGTCTTGCGTGCGCTTTGTGCTGTAGTCGGTGTGACCCTTGTCTGACCACTATATAAGTCTTAAACTGCATTAGTTGGTTGGAGAAGCCCGTAAATCTCGACCGAACAGCCCCAGTCGATGTGCCGAATTATATTTGCCCACTCCGTGAAATATTCATTACTCAGGGACAATCGAGCGAGCCAGTCACCAAAATTAATTAGGAAAATTTTGTTGACGACTGCATAAATAAGACATCGGTGAGATTAAAGATCTGACCGATGAATGGCGGACCGTATGATTGATTGGAATGTTGTGCGAGAGATGAAATTGAAATGTTTTCGTCACGGATGAAGGCCTGTCCTGACGAGAACTTCAATTATTGTTATGCCTGATATCTAGTGCTATGTTTGAAATGCTAGAAAACTTTGCTGTGCTTCGTTTCTTTCTAAGACCTATAAGTGGCCAATTCAAACCACAGGCGTTAAATTGTAAAACTTTATAAATTCGTAATGATATGATTTTGCCAGCAACGTATTTACGTGATACGTAATGTAGTTTTGTCGTTGAAACTGATACTTCCCTCGTCAAAATCATTTGAAATGCCGGTGAAATTATTATCTGAACATTCACTAAGCGAGATGTTAGAATGACCATGTTTCCTCAGAATTATTCGTAAATTTTGCGTTTAACCGTTCAAAGGTTATTTCACCGTTTTACTGTTCTTGTTCTCTCATTCACTGATCGGGGATCATTGAAATTCTGGAAAAATTCTGAAGTCTTCCCACTTCAGGAAATGTCAAATTTGCCATATTGCTTCACCTTAGGAAATGTCAAATTTGCCATATATTGCTCTTAATTCTCATGAATTATCGTAATTGAACATTTTGGATTATTTACCATTTTACTATAACATGGGCTAGGCTCACCGATCGAATATAAATGAATTGCCGGTGAAACTTTAAATTCACTAGGTGGAAATGTCATACTTGCTGTTTAACTCAAACCTTTGATAAATAATGCATTTTGCCGTTTTAAATCGTTTCACCGTTTTAATCTATTTGCTTCGTACAGGTTTTTGTAATCGTTTAATTTGATCAAATGCTGCAAGTCGTTAATTAAATGTCATTCATTTAACAAATGTGTTATGGATACGTATTGCCCGACATTTATATTTAAAACGCTTTATTGTAGTTGTAAAGCTCGATTAAGACGGTAGGAATGTAAATTTAATTACCAATAACTTTCTTCATTTTCCGTTTACGTGCCTAAGCCGACATTTTAGAACGTTCATGTAACAAAATGAATCGTCTTAAACATCAGCTTTGTAGGAATGTTAGTTTATTTACCGTTTAACTTTTGGCACTTACGCGCTTTACGCCCATGTTCTACAAGATTCATGGACCTAAGAATATAAGATGTCGTTTTAGTTTAAACCCACTTTACTTACTCACATATTACTTGCATATCGTTTAAATTGTTATAACTTTTCAATAGGTTTTTCATTGTTGGACGAAGGCTCACCGGTTACATTAAATTGCTTGTCATAATTTGAGGTATTTGATTTAAAATAAAACTGTCAGCATTGTTCAGGTTATGATTTCAAGCATAATCTGGTTCAATTTCACAGTTTTAATTTCAGTTTGCGTTGATGATAATTAATTGAGCGATACGGCCCTTATATGCGATTCTTAATTCTTCGGGAACCGACCCTGTGGATCTATGTCTGGTTGATGGTTTCCCGCTCCCCAAATTGACAGCCGCCAACGAGCGAAATCGTCCTTTCGCCTATTCGAAGAACTCGGAGCCAAATACCAGTTTCGCTATTCTGTCCTTATCCCCAGCGCCGGCGCCGGCCGCCCGACCTGGTCACCGACCTAGCCGGTGTGTTTGCTGTTTGGCCCGTCGTCCCGATCCATTATTCCAGCGCCGCTGGGCATGCGTCGGAGCACTGTAATGGCGGAGACTAGTGGAATGCGGTACCGCATTTCCGCAGACTATTATCCTCCATGGGCGAAATGCGCCAGAGCCTCGTCTCCCAGGCAATCTTCCCAGTCCCGATCATTATCTCAGCGATCAGTCATTTCTTCTTCCTGGCTTTCACAGCCATCGGCGCTGCGCCGCACGCACATTTGACCCGCTTCTCTGCGCAGTGGGAGTCGACCCATGTCCCACTTTCACTTTCACCAGATCCCACGCACCATCTGATCACTTCCCCGCTCGCCATGTGCCAGTGACGGTGACCCGACCCACAGTCGGCTCTGTCGCTGAACCGTTACCAAAGGGCCGGCCGGCGGCCACGAGAGATGCCGCTCTGAACTCAGTTTAGACGGAAATAAATTTAAATGACTTGTTTTGTGCAAAATTTCATGGCCCATTCAGCATGATCATACCGACCATTACCTGTAACCACTGGCAATGTCGCTCTAAACTCAGTTTAGGCGAAAGGAAATTTAAATGATTTGTTTTGTGAAATAAATGGCCCGTTTAGCATGATCATACCGATCAATACCTGTGACTACTGAGACGGCCGCTCACGTGGTCAGGTCGGATGGTCGACTGTGACGTGTTAAACGTACAATTTCGGAAAGTTTAGTCTTAACCAATTTCTCATGGAATACAAATTTCATTAACGATTGAAGCTTGCAGATTTCAAAGTCCGACCATCAATCGGAAAAGGGCCAAGAATTACGGACAATCATCCGCGGTGTTGTGATGTCACGCCCCACGGCCGATGTAAGCCGTTTTTAACAACCAGAGGTGCCCCAATAACCGCGGCTGGTATGTACCGTATATCCTTCCTTCTATCCAATACTCTCTCCTTTCATCAGGCAAATTAAAATTAAGCATGTGCTCTGTGACTGGTTGATTAACCCGCGCGGGGCTGGGGTCTCCAGCCGAACGCGCGGGGCTGGGGGGGGTAAATTTTACCCCCCCTGTTATCTCCCGAACTAATGGTCCGATTTGGAAAATTCAAACGCCAATCGAAAGCTCTCATCACGAACTACTAGAAACATGTACTTAATTTAAAGTTTGAGGTCAAGGTCAAGGTCAGGTCAAGGGTACAAATTGCAAGTTTCTACAGTATCGGCCTTGCACCGTAGTTGCCGAAGAATGGAGTCATGGACTGAGACTGATCGCCCAAAACGTGTTCTTAGGCTACCAAGACAATATTTGTTGCATACAATATCATTCAGAGGTCAAGGTCAAGGTCAGGTCAGGTCAGGTCAGGTCACCAAAAAACAAAATATAGAAAAGGGCATGTGCGACACATGTTTTATGGGTCATTTTACTCATAGAATTCAATAGGCACACTCAATAAGTGATATGGACCACCTCTGGATGAATTTCAGGTCGAGGTCAGGTCAAGGTCAGGTCAAGTGAGGTCAAATTTTGAAGTTGGTTGTTAAGGCCTAAAAAGGTGTCTATCTGATGCAGTTTTTCACGGCGAATCGAATGGTGCTATTTTTGTTTCCGTACGAGGTCTAGAACTTCCAAAAAAGTCATTTTTCAAAAAATTTGTGTGTCGTGACGTCATAAAATTTTGAATAACTCC